GCACGTGGCATGGGATGTGGGGTGGAGGAGGGCCGCGTGTCCGTGGACATTTGCTAGAGGAGGGCCACGTGTCTGTGGACACGAGCTGGAGGAGGGCCGCGTGTCCGTGGACATGTGCTGGAGGAGGGTTGCGTGTCCGTGGACACGAGCTGGAGGAGGGTTGCCTGTCTGTGCACATGAGCTGGAGGAGGGCCGCATGTCCGTGGACACGAGCTGGAGGAGGGTTGCGTGTCCGTGGACACGAGCTGGAGGAGGGCCGCATGTCTGTGGACACGAGCTGGAGGAGGGTTGCAGCTTACCTTGGCCCGAGCGGCCGCCTTGGTCTCTGCGTCCATCCAGTCCAGCTCCTCCAGGCGCTGGCCCAGGATGTACTTGATGTCTTCCACCAGCTGCTGCACCTGCCGGGCCAGGGGCCAGGGCAGCTGAGCAGCTTAGCTCTGGCCTTGGTACAGGCTCGAGGGGTGCCCCTACCATTCAGCACCTCTTTCTACACCCAGGGCCTGGTGCTGGGCATGCAGGGGAGACGGAAGATGGGAGCCAGGACTGCACCCTTGGCAATAAGCTCACAGTCTAGATAGCCTGCCCCAGCCACCACAGGAACGTTCCTCAGGCCACACCTTCTGAGCATGACTGAGAAGGTTGGCAGGGGCTTGGTGGGGAGGGCCACAGTGGCTGACAGTCCAGGTAGGCTCCCTGGGGGAGGAGGCCTGGTATGAAGCAGCCTGGAGCCTTAGAGAAGGCAGAGCCCCAAGCTGAGCTTGGTGACGCTGGCCAGCTCCTCAGGCCTATGCCACGCGAGAGTTCCATGCGCAGTTCAGCAGCTACACCCCACCCGAAAACCAGAGCAGTGGCTGACCTTGGCTTTGCTGGCGGCCGAGAAGTGCTCATGTACAAACAGGGCACCGAGCGCCATGCCAAAGTGGCGGTTGGCCTGGCCCAGGCAGACGCGGGCCAGCTCTTGCGGCTGGTCACTGCCCTCCATCTCCCGAGCCAGCTCGTGCAGCGCCTCGCGAAATGGCGGGGACAGGTGCTCGCTCAGGACCACCACCACACGCCACACCAGGTAGTTGTGCAGGACCCTGCAGGCCAGGTGGGGCAGGGCGTCAGGGAGGCCGGGCCCCTGACGATACCCCCCTCCCTCCCTGCCCCCTTGCCTGGGACCGGACCTAGCCCCACACAGCCCCAACAAAGGAGCGAGCGGTACACAGAGCCAAAGGGTCCTGACCCAGACCACATGGCAGGACATGCTCTTCTACAGACCAGAGCACACGATGCTGAGGGCAGCACCAGCATGGCTGCCTACTTGCCCCTGGTGAGAGGGGCACTGTCCTTGAAAGGCCTGTGTTCCTCCCCAGGTGCGGAGGCCAGGGATGCTCCCCAAGGTGGCCACACACTCTGTTTCCTGAGTCCAGACTCACTCAGCTTCAGCATCCCCAAGTGAGGACCACCCAGGCTCTGGAGACCACCCTGGGTCTCACAGTGCAAGTAGGGGAGCCAGGATCTGAACCCAGGGACCTGGGCTTCTGCTCCAGGGCTCCCCCCACCTCCCTCGGTGTGGCTCCTGGGCAAAACACACAGAGCAGACAGGCCTGGGTGCAAGGGAGGGCCTAGAGGCCGACAGGCAGGGTGGGCCGCCAGCAATACCTGCGAGGTGTGGAGCCGATGAGCTGGGACACCTGCTGCATGTAGCCTGTGGCCAGCAGCACCAGCTCCTCATCCTCTGAGAAGTCCTCCTGGAAGATCTGGTCCAGCAGCCACTTCCACTGCAGCTGTGGGGCGGACAGCACAGACAGTAAGGCCAGGAGTGGCAAGTATAGGGTCAGGGAGAGGCAACCAGAGGACTCGGCCCACAGCCATGGAAGGCCTTCCCTGTCCCTGGGGTGGGCTGGCGACACTCACATGGGGGGTGATCTTCTGCAGCTGCCCCAGTGTCACCTTGTTGTATGTGGAGCTGACATCACGCCGGAGGTCATCGTACTCTGACATGGTGATCTAGGGGTGGGGATCAATTGACATACCCCCCTCGGTAGCCACAGACCCTTCCTCCCCCGGCCACGAAGCTCCCGCCACCTGCTCACATTGGCGAGCCGCTGCTCCAGCTGCAGGATCTCCTGGGCTTTCTGCTCCACAGCCTCTGCTCCCAGGAGGCTAAGCAGACGCTCCATGAACCCCCTGTATGCCGCCAGGACCTGCGCCAGGACAGGAGCTCCCCGAGGGTCAGGGACAGGCCCAGCCTGGGGTCAGCTGTCCTGGGCCCCAGTCTTCCCCACAGCCTCACCCCGTTCCCTGATACCTTCTCGCTCTCCTCGTCCTGAGCAAGGTACAGGGTCCTCTCCGGCAAGGTGAGCCCATCCTGATCAATCTGGGCAGGAAGCCAGGACCAGAGGTCACAGGTCAACATGATAGGTCCTCCCAACAGGCCGTATTCCCACCCGAATGCCCAAATGGAGGTCATGCCAGACATCCATTGTCACAGCCTAGAAGTACAGACACCCTCCAGGAGAAACTGGTCAAAGCCCCCATCCTCCACCAGCTCCCTCATGCAGAGGTAAAGCACTTCTCATGAAAAGCCAGATTCCACTTGACGACTGTGGTTCGAATCCTCAATCCAGGTTAGTCTGAAACAAGAGGGCACCCATGCCAGTGCTCAAGATCCAAAGGGCTGGAGGACTGGAGGAAAGGGGTCCCGCTTGACCAGGCCCTGTGGAGGGTGCCTCTCTTCCTCTCAATTTACAAAAATGTTTGTAAAGGCTCTGCCCCGGGGCTCCAAGAGGGAACCAGCATCCAGTCCTTCTCCCTGCAAGACTTCACTTTTCCCATCCGTGAGGGGCACATGAGGACCCCGCACCGAGTCCTGGGTCAGCCCAGCCCGCCCGGTATATCCCTCCCTGTGCACCGCCTGTCCGAGGGCTGGCAATTGCGGCTCCCGCAGCTCAGCTAAACACCGCAATTACTCGAGGGAAATTACTTGCGCCCTCCTCCCGCGCTCTGCCGGTGCGCGCTCCTCTCCTCCCCTCTCCCCTCCCCTATTGCACCCGCCTGCAGGGCGTGCGGGGCCGCGGTGCCCCTGCTCTCCGCTGCTGGCTGGGTGCTGGGGAAACCACTCACGCGGATGACGTAGCGCGAGGAGTTCCTGTCGTCCAGGCTGACGGTGAGCGAGAAGAGCGCGGCGGCGCTGTACACGCCCTGCGCCTTGTA